CAAGAAGCACATCTGAAAATGACTTTTCTTTCCCACGCTGATTCGTCTATTCGGCTACAAGATTAGAAATCTGGCTCCATTCAAAACTTGTTTTCCTGACGGCGGCAGCAGCAGATCTCTCTTAAATCAAGGTCCTGTCTCATGATTTAGTGCTGCCTTGTCTTCCCTGTGCTTTCCTGCATCTTGCTGCTCTCTGCCTGGACATCTTCACCTTTCTGCACCCCTTCCTGGCTGAAGAAGTTTTAGGATTATTATTCTGAACTGACAGTAAACATATCGAATGTGCATGATAGAGGAAAATTATCTTCAAAATATTTACTATTTTTACTATAAATATAAACATTTAATATTTACTGCCGCTACAAGAGGGCAGTGAACTACATGATGAATGCAACAGGTATCAGGTCCATTATGAGACAGAATGCTGTTCTGAGATCAGCTGTAATGAGGGATATCAATTGATAATATATAATTGATTGTTCTGACTGCTGGTCTTGCTTTCTACACTTCAGCCCCTGAAGTTTGGCTTAATTTTTTCCCTCCTGTCTGAAAAATGATCATTTGGTTCTTTGTTTCTGACTCATACTTCGCCCTTTTCAGTGTGAGCCACGTGGATTGAGTTTATCTCCAACTCCTAAACCAACTGCTTTGCTTTTTCAGGATTCGTGGGAAGAAATCCAGATTGGCAGCGTGCGACTGCAGCGTATATTGTCATGTGGAAGGTAACAATGGTCGATGCTTCACACAGATTTTAATTAATTAGAAAGATATATTTATTCAAAATCAATTAAAAATAATTTGTTTATATATATATATATATATATATATATATATATATATATGTGTGTGTGTGTGTGTATATGTGTGTGTGTATTTTGGGTGGGGTGGGGGGATATATGCTGTAGAGATCATGGACTTGTTGGCTCCCTTGGTTTTGTTGAGAGGTGACTCCTGTAAGGGAATGAAATTTGAAATATAAAGAGTATTAAAAAAATTTTTTTTTGATTAATTAATTTACCAACAATGAACGTAAAGCTGCAGCACTGTTTGGGGTTTATTTGATGTTAAAATGTATGCATTTGTTTTTCTAACTGTGGAGATTAAACTGTGACTGTTGTTGTTTCCAGGTGTATGTTCACCACAGTTGACCCTGAAACTGGTATCATGAACAGAAAAGAGCCTTTGGAAACACTGAAAAGGTGAAGTTTAAACTCAGCATTATTTATGGAAGGTTACTGTTTTAAATTTACAATTAGGGCTACTTTTTGAAACCAGTTGGAAAAGTCCCTTTGTGGTTTATCAGACTAAACACGGCGTCACTCTGGAGGCAGTAAAGGCTTTAACTTTTCTCACATTTCTAAGACCTGTAGACTTGGTGGATAATTCCCAGTCTCTATAATATCATTAAACTGTGGTTTAGGGTTTGCCTGAAGTTAAACTGTATACGTGGCTTTTTCTTTTTGCACTTGGATTCAGCCACAGTACGTATCAGAGGCATTTCCTCCCAGCCTCAGAGAACAAACCCAATAAAGGATATTACTGCAAAAATAGAGACTAATAGTTGTACTTTTTTGGTGTGTATTCTTTTTTTCCTAATTTATCTATAACACTCCTTTATCTCCTGAAGACAGTTTTCCTTAACTTTATTTTATTTAAATGGTGTTTGTACCTCGTCAATCAGAGTTTAAATCCTAAACTTTACTCCTTCTCTTGAGAAAATCTGTTTTTTAATCAGTGAGATATTTCCATGTATTTTTTTTTTTCCTGTCTGACGTCTTTGAACTCATCCTGGTGACAACTCCTCCACAGCTATCGTCTGTGTAAACCGTCCGAGAAGCACATCTACAAGTCGTCGCCGCTGTTCGGACAGCTGCACACCGTGAAGAAGACGGGGATCCTGCAGGTCGGCGACGTGGTGTACAAGATCAGCCGCTGATAGAGGGAGTCGGAGAGGGTAAAACATGGTGTCAAAACATTCAGTCGCTTTTCTGAAGGAGGGAGAAAGTCGCTGTATAATCACTGTGTTAACCCACACTAAAGAAAGCCCTTACATAGATGTACTACGCACAAATAATGAAGAAAAAAAATACAAATATGTAACAGTTGTATTAAGTTTAAAATACATCAATAATCAAGTTGTTTTTTTTTATTGCTATAATACTAATGGAATCTGAATTAAACACATTTCTAACAACTGCAGGTTGAGGTCAGTGGTCATTAAATCCTAATAGTACACGATGCCATTAATGAGAGAAATTAAAAGGCTCCAGTTTTTGCAATAAAATACAGAATGTGCAATTATTCCTCAGATAAACAGGACAGAGAAACAACAACAACCTCTGGGATTAAAAAGTAGCAGAACAGTAGCTATTATATCTGTTTGAATGCTGATAATCTGTTTAATTATAAACATCCCCCCATTTAATGCTCTTAACATTTTAATGTCTTCTTATTTTAAGGCATGTGTTTATTTAAAAAAAGAAGCCTAATTTCAATATTTTTTTTAAAACATTCTTAAACATTCTCAATTATATATGATATCTATTAGTTTTTCTCATAGTGGTATTTTCGATATTGGTTGTATTTTAGATGTTAATGAAGAAAATTAAGAACTGCTCAGTGTGTTTCAGTTTGGGATCCATGCTGTGAATGTTTAAAGCCGCTGTATAAAAGCAGAGCTGAGCCTGTTCTGTATCACCTGTCAAGGTAAATATTTCCCAGCTTCCCTGTTCTCATGTGTTTGATGCTTTAATTTAGGAAAAACTTCCAAAGTTTCCCCAGCAGCATGTCAGTGGGTCGGGGACAAACATGCTGAAGCTTCTGATGGAAACAAAGATCAAACCTGTGACCTTTCAGTTAATGGGGAAAAACCTGTGCACCCTGTCAGTGTGGAAGATTGATGAACTAACAGGTGGAGGTGTTTTACATCCAAATATTCTTACATTACCTTGAGTGTGAGCAGTTGAAGCACTGGTGGCGCCTGTGACACTCAACAGTAGTTACACAGCACGGCCAGCAGGGAGCAGCAGTCTTTTCTTCTTCACAGTAAGAGCCTGAAGATGTTTCTGGATATTTGTTTAACAACCAGTAAATTTGTGTTGCAGTGGGGAAAAAAAACCTCTTTGCAGCAGTGACAACTCAGCATGGTGATCATCTTGTTTATTTCGAACTGATGTATGAACATAATTGATGGTGGAGCTTGATTTGTTTTATATTTTTCCAGAATCATCCATTCAAATGCAGCAGCATGTTTCTTTTTAATGATTCCAGCACGATATCCATTCATCCATGAGGTTTATTTGGTTTTCTTACATCAACAAGCAACAAGTTTATCAACTCACTTTGTGATTTCATGGCAGTTTATGTGTTAAGAGGAAGAGATTCACTGTCACAACACATGTTGATTAATGAGCTTTACTGGTACTGATAAATACCAGTAAACTCTTGGCAAGAAAGTAAAAAAACACGTTGCCTGGGATTGTCCTCACCGCGGTTAGGAAGAAAGAAAAGGACGTTCAATAACAGCAGAGAAGCAATGGTTAGAATACAAATAAAAAAATATTCCTTTCCTTTTATGGCCCAAAAGTGTTTGTAATTTCAGTAGTTCACAGTATAAAAGGAGGTAAAAACAACAGTCCGGAGTGGTTGCAACATCTATATATTTTTCTTACCTATAATTATAACTATTACAATATATTTCCCATATTCATGCTTGGAAGAATCTTGTGATACGATTTCAGGCACCCCTAAAGTGGGCCGTACCATTTCCTAACCCTGACTTTAAGTCTTGTTTACTTTCCTTGCTGGTGTCAGTGACACAAGCTTCTGTGAGAGCCATCCACACACAATACTGCATCTCTTCTGGCATTGTTCGTATACACAGAAGTCCTGGAGAGACTTCATCAGATTTGTCATTGGACATATTTTTAGGGATTTTTCTTTCATTTGGGAGAATGTGGTGTTTTGTTCCTTTAGAAACCAAAAAAAAAGAATGATAAAATACTTTTATCATCAACCTGTTCACCAAGGCCTATGGCCTCTAGCTGCTTCATCTCCTCCAATCTCCTCCAATCTCTGCCATCCCTATTCTGTCTCGTCTTGTTTTCATTTTTTTGTTTATTTTGTGTTTCTTTCCCTGTAAAATGGCCTTGGGTACCTTGAAAGGTGCTTTAAAAATTCAAGTTATTATTATTACCTCACTACTTGTGTAACATCAGATGGTGAATCAAGGACAACCTAACAAAAACGTGCTTTCCCTAAAGCTATTTAAACAATTTTTATGTGCAGGCCGTTTGTTAAACTTTTAATCTGAGTGAGTGATTTGGGATTTACAGTGTAGGGTATGCAGCTCAGTTTCTCTCTGTGTGCTTCTCACTTCCACAATATGACTCGTATCTAAACTTTTTTTCATCACTTCCACTACAGTTTGCATTCTTAGTCCCTTTTCTCATCTCCTCATACAACTTCAACTGCTTCATCATACGAATCCAAGGCAGAAACACAGTTTCTTCAGAAATTGCAGTTTCTAATGTATTATTATTGTTATATGGTTAGGGAGGACAATGTGTGGTAAAAGCATGGAATTAACATTGATCGCACATACAAGTATTGAAATACTGACATAGCTACGTGAGTTCCCCCAGATACAGCACGACTGAGATTACTGAGGGATTGCACCATGATGGTTCTGGGCTGCTGCGAGCTCCTGCCTGCTGCTGTCAAAACGGCCCAAAACAAGACAGTACTACACCGTAAAATGGGGATATAGAGTGGCGAATTCGAAACATTCATTTCTCTTTAAGGCTAACTTTGGCTGATAGGAAATACAGTTCTAAAATTATAAGAAAGGAGTCGGAAGCAATTTATTATTAGTGGTTTATGTTGTCAAATTTTGGTCCAAAGTATCGTAACAATATTCTGAATACCCCTATTTATCGAATGGTTCGCTCCGTTGCTATGCTATCTTGTGTAGACATTCTCCAGGGTGATGGAGACGATGATGTAGTTTCTCGGCCTGAAAACGCGAAATACATAACGTTGTTCGGTTTAAAACGTAAACGGTGTGCGCCGTAACAACAATTACAATGGCCGGTATAAGAACAGTTAACGGAAAATTCTCGGGAGTCAACCCGGCTGTCAGGTAATGTTAATGTCGAATTCTGTTTACAGAAACGCCTCGGTGAAGCTGTCAAGCTAACCTGGCTAACGTTAGCTCGAACCGCTACGTTATTAGTCGATATTCTAACGCCCAGTTGTCGTTCGTCAACGGTAACGGTACCGTAAAAATAATGTTAACGTTAGCAAGGAGCTGAGCCAACAATAGGTTACAGGTTAATCAGCTGCCTAAGCTACGTAATTATTTTACCGTACCACCATACTAAAAAATTCCCCGCACACAAATCAGATCTTTTATTGCCAAAATCTAAAGCTAACGTTAATGTATAACGAATTATGATGGACCTGTTGAAAGTATTTAATTCCATCGAACGATTAACGAAAATCGTTTATTATGACTGACATACATTTGGTTAGCAGTTTATTGGGTACACCTAGCCAAATCTAACGCAGCCCTGCAGTAAATCCTCCCTTCATGAAGGTTATAATGATCAGTGTCTATTGAGTTGTTGACTCAACTGTATGATCATTTTGGAGGCTGTAGTTTGTGATGCCATTGTACAGGGAGGTGTTAAAGTTATTAGGCTTCTCAAAAAAAAAAAATAGAAATACCTGTCTATATAACGCAATAGGATTCAACTACACCTTTAACTGCAGCTTCCAAAGTGACCATATAGTTGAATCTACACCTCCTCTAAAACAGTTTCATCACAAACTGAACATTATAACCGTTATGAAGACTGTTCTGATTGGCTGCCTTAGTTTTAGCTACGTGTACCTAATAAACTACCAACTCAGTGGAGTTCATAATTGTCTCATTTTCTCACAATTGAGGCAAATCTCCTCTCCTGAAGCGGTGTCGTAATTATGAATTATAATAAATTATATATTAAATGTGTATCTGGGAAACCTATGTGAAAACCTATCTGAATTGTGAGATATGGAAGTGATCATTTTAAGAAAGCTCTCACTCTTTCCTTTTTTTTTTTTGACAAATCTAAACACAAATTAATCTAAACAATAATTTACTGGCAATTTCCACCTTAAAATTGTTTGTTGTATTCAAAGGATGAGATGTGGTGGAAATCTTTGGAAACATGTTAGTTGGACTGTGTGTTGAAGTTTTTTTTATTTTTATTTTTTTTTATCAAACTGCTGTTTACAAGGTTAAGAATTAACATCTTAGCTCAACATACATCTGAAGTCAATGTTCATAACTAACAAAAGCCATGACGTAATGCATACATTTACTTATTGTTGTATTTTTCAGCTGCTGTCGTCTGCGGCAGGTTCAGTCTCTGCTATGTGAGGGTGGTGCTGCCACTCCGGATGGCATCATGTGCTCTCTTGGTATGTTAAGTCGCAAACTTTTTTTTATCTTTAACCTCCTTTCTTTATCTGGCCTGGTTAACTGCATTGTCAGCTGCTAAGCCTAGAGGAAATAATTTTTCACAACAGATGGTGAATAAAGCAATTCATGTGGCCATTCCAAAACTGTTGACAATTTTTTTGTTGTGTATTTCAGGAATTGACAGCAGATATAATGAAGGGTGCACTGAGCTTGCAAAATACCTGTTCTATGGACTGTATGGACGAAATCAGCTGAATCTGGAACATGTCCTTGAGGAGTTTCCAGAGGAAATGCTGGATGGTGAGTTCTTCAATTGTTGTTCACTATATTTTTTATCATATTTTGTGCTTGCTTTAGTATTTATTTACTCTGACCTGTTACTTGTCTGCTTGTCAGATGTCATCCTACTGATCAAGGCAGAGTGTGTTCATCTGTACTGCAATCCACTAAACTACAGTTACCTGCTGCCCTACGTATCTCACTGGAGGAACCTGCATCTTTACTGCATGACAGAGGCAGAGGTTAAAAAGCCCTATTCATTCCTTCCTCTATCATTCCTGTTAATTACAGTTCCTGTGTGCTTCAACTAGGAGTATGAACCTAATCAAGGGTATTAAGACATGTTGATGTATCCACCTGGCTGCAAATTTTTAAGGTTACTATATTACTATAAGTCAGCTTCATTTTTATTAATGTGTTCTAGCTTTTACCAATGTACTACCAATTTGTGTGCGTGTCGCTGCACCTCTTAAGAGTTGTCTCATACTTCTTTGAAAACTCACATATCAATTAATGATTTCCAAACCTTTTTTATTGCTGAAATATCTAAATGCAGCAGTATTTGTAATTTGCCAACCTCTGTAATTTGTTCACCTCCACACACAGTATGAAGATGAGGAAGCAGCAGAGGAATTCAAAATCTCCAGCTTTGTCACAATGGTGCAGGACTGCTATCGAATCGGAGTTCCTTACAGCTCCCGGGGTACATATCGTCACATTTTAATCTCTACATTTATTTGCTGTTTGTGTGTTAAAGAGATAATCAAAAGTGTTCACACACTAACTACATGACATGACATCACAGTAAGCCAAAATACAATGTCGGTTCACCATCTGGATAACTTGCGCCTACTGACTAATTACACCAACAGCATATTTGCTCTACTGTTACTCTTAGGGCACATCCAGAAGTTTGATATGTTTATGGTGGAGAAGTGGCCTCTGATTCAAGCGTTTGCCCTGGAGGGCATTGGTGGAGGAAGTTTTTTCACGATTAAATACAAGGTACGTTCAAACAAGTAAAAAAAATTTGGTGTGACAAACATGTTGAAATATATTTTACATAAGAGCGTTTGTAGCACTATGCTTCTTATTTCAGTTTGTGTTCATTCAAATGGTATATTCCCTTTTGTCCAGCTCATGGATATGAGTGAGAAGCTTTGGCAGGTGTACACCAGATTGGACCCAGTGTCTCTGGATAGTCTCCTCGCAGAGGTAACACTGACTTTTCTTAATCTTCTGTTGCTCTAGCTTTCACAGGATTCTGTTGCATTGCAGACCCACTGTTTTTGTTGTTCTTGTATTGTATACTGACACTCTGGTGGTCACATGGTGAACCTCTTTGAATTAAGTCATATTTGGTATGTAAAGGTGTGAACATAACCATTTACTGTCATTTTTACTTATAACCTTGGTGTTGTTTATTGTAGGACTTGGTTAACTTTGAGAAGCAGTGGAGTGGCTTTTTCTCCAGCATGGACCTGGAGAGCCATCTGTCCATCCTAGAGCTGTCTGAAGCCCAGGCAGGGGAGGTGAGTTTGTAGCCACAAAGTCCTACAAGAATAGAACTCTGGACAATAACTTACTGAACACAATTACTTCATACTGTAATGTAATAATTATTATCATAATTATAATATTAATATTTTTTCATAATTTCACTTTAGGTGTGCAGTGTAAAATTAAAAATAACATTAAAAAAGGAGAAAACAAAAATATGCTCAAATTAGTATCATGCTTCCTCCATTGTCTTGCTCTTCATTTATGAGTAATGGAGTATCATAAGTCAGCATCCATGTATGCTCATAGGAGGGTGTTATAGTCCACTTCCACTTGCAAATTGAACATGGACATGCAAACAGAGGAAGAGTGGACGAGGCAAAGGTGTAGTGACAGGAAGGAGATCAAGTCAGCGTCTGATCAAATGTACTACTTTGTTGTAATCTTTAAGTAATGGTGTTCAGTTTCTGATCTTAGTTGTCAGCTAAGTGTCCTCATTAAGTGTATTTTCATCAATCCACAGGCGTTCCGTACTTACTACTCTCATGGACTGATCTCAAGCAACATCACAGATAAAAGGTATTCTTCATATTCTACAAACGGTTCATCTCTAGTCTTGTAGAATGAAAACATGCTTTTGCTTAACCAGCTGTTTCTTTACTTCAGTAAAAGTCAGCAGCCCTTTGTGCTGTTTGGGAAACATTCCTCCTCAGAGGATCTGGAGAGCTGTTCATTCAACTTTCCCTCAGAGAGCCATCAGGTCCGCAACACAGGGCCTCAAGGTTCGACAGCCAGACACATGGTGAGAAGCAGCAGTAGCTGAGAGGGGGAGAATAACTGCATGCTGACGCTCTGTGGTGGTGCAGAGAACATGTCTGACAGAGGAAATGTTGTAATGTGAAACACTGTAAACTACTTACATTACTGTAACATCCCTATTAATGGCTGGAAACCTTCCAAAGTGGTTAGTACAGTGGAAGGTCTGTCACTGTGAAAACTTGGCATTGATCTAATGTTTCCATTATGTGTAACTGATGTTTTATAAATCACATTGCTCAAGTTAAAGAGGGAAACTGGCCTGCAGCACCACCTGGTGAAGGGTTTTGGTACAACCAATGCTCAGTGATGTACAGGACAGTGTTTACAACACTGTTAAGTGGGAACATGACATGAATGCATCTTTTTTGTGTCTTAGATTCTTAAGTGTGTGGCTCCTAAAGGACCTCTAGCCTGCTCTCGAACCTATTTCTTTGGGACAACCCACTCTCCCTACCTTGGTGAGGTGTTACTGTATGACTCTGCTTACTTGATATTGTTCAACTGCATATTTGTAAAACATGAGGATGTTTTTTTAATATATTTTACATTATTGATTAGTAATAATGCAGTACCATGCTGCAGAGGTGTTAAAGCAATACTAACAAATCCCATAATTTGTATTTTCCTGTATCTCACCCACAGGAAATCAAAACACGGATCAAAAGAAAACAGAAGTCTTGTAAGTGATTTTTATTTGAAGTTCATTAATATTTTCCCTCTAAGCGATTGTTAAATGTTTGAGTTTTTCTGAATGAAAGAGTTTTTTTTTCTTCTTCAGACTTTTGTCCCAGATTTATTCAGCTGCTGTTCAAGCAGTCCTTTCAGGAATCAAATGCTACTCCTGTACCTCCAGTGCTACCAAGGTAAGAAAAACAGCACTAAACTTTAACATTTATCTCACAGCATGTACAATTACTCATGAAGAAATGTCTGTTATCGTAGGCTAAGGATGTAGCAGAGAACACCTTTCTAGTGGCTTTGGACTCGATGAATCTAAATCAGTATCGAAGTTTTCTCAGGTATATATTGATTTGAATTTTTTCAACTGTTGTTTAATGTATGAGACTTTCACCCAAGCATGAAATGACATTTATTGTTTGAAGCAGTTTCATCGTATGTTTCTTCTTCTCAGGTCCAAATGTGAATTCAGCATTCAAGCAGTGAACAAGCAGGGGAGGTGGGTGTTAACTAGTGCTTTGTAAGCATTTGTATTTTCTGCACAATCTCCTTGACATTTTCATCGTCATTTGATTCAATGATTTCTTGCTTTCTTAAAAAATCCTTTTGTAAATATGTGATTTGAGACCTAAAAAGCCTGTTTTTTTATTTTCAGGATCATTCCTCTGACTGATGAAGAAAGCCGTTATGTAGTAAAAACAGTAAGTCAGAGAAGCGTATTGTTTTTTGCTTCTTGAAACTGTCACAATGGAAACACCTGAGTGTATAATTTTCCTCTGAAAGTTTTTTTTTCCATCTTGACTAATTGTATGTTTTTTCTAAGGCCTCCATGACCGTCCATGACATCCCAGACCTCCAGTGGGACAGGGGGGACCTGGGCTCCGTGGTCTTCTCTGAATCCTTCTTAGAGTCCAGCATCAATATTCAGCAGAAAGGTACATTTTGGATTATCTTAAGTATAACTAGAGTGGATTGCTGATTGATTCCACAAAGGAAATTTGTTTTACATAATAAGCAGGACACAGCCACACGTTGCTGTTAACAGAAGAAGGCAAAAGTCGTTTAGAAACAACAGAGGATTAGTCTAAAAATAGCCTATTTCCTGCCCTGAGGGTTATATTTGTGATTCATCTTCCATGTTTGTCATTCTTTGGCTTTGTTGTTTATGCTACATTTCAAACAAGTCTGTTTCCTCTCCTGCAGATGGCACTGTGTCCTCAGACAGCTGCTACACCATCCTGACGACAACTGTGCCTCGCTACGCCTGCTGGCTGGTACGTGAAGGGCTGAAAATGAAATAGATTTTATATTAAAAGTGTTTTGGATTGTGATTCAGAACTTGTGTGTTTGTAGATGGAGTCTGATGTAAAGCAGTCTGAGCAAGCCCAGCATCTCACTAAGGTGAGTTCAGAAGCTTCATATGCCCCCACCCCCCCACTTCATGTTTCCCTATATACACTTATGTATGAGCATGTGCCCTAATGATCTACAATATGCGTCTGAAACAGAAAGAGGACGACACTTGTTTGGGAACTGCTCTGACTGTGGCAGATGCTGCTTATGTATTCTCCAGCAGCCAGCTCTCCACGCCTGAAGAAGGTGACACTCACACACTCACATGGGGGTTATTTTGCAGCCTCGTCTCACTGTGTACTCGGGCCAGTATTGTACATTATGTGACAAAGAGTTGTGAATGTGTGTATTTTATTGTTTATTCAATTTTTTTTATTTTAGGGAAGATAATTTTCTTCTCTGAGGGACTCCTGTTTATCCATTCTCAATATGGGAGCATTACTCTGTCCAAGGATCACATCAACACCATCAAGTTTTATGATCCGGTAAGATGAATAATATGACTTTCAGTTGTATCGTGATAGGACACGCAGTAGTTGAATCACATATGTTATTTTTCTCACAAGATCTGCTTTTGTTTACTGATTTAAAAGATAAGTCAGGCTTCCATTTAAAACCATGTTAACACATATACTGTGTGTATGTATATGCAGTGGAACACACAGCAACTACATGAGTGTGATTTGTGTGTCCTCTTCTTACCAGGACTCGAGCGCTGTGGCTTCTCTCTTTGTGGAGTATGACAGCAGCCTGCTCCCGCACCTCCCGTTCCCTCTCCACAGCTCTGACCAGTGTCTGGTCTTTGCTCTTCAGCCCAGATCTAAGAGCCACAGGGCTTTCTACTCCAAGGTTAGAACAGTAGTCAGTGACTAAAGCTCTGACACAGTTTGAGACTGAAGTTAACAGGGATCATCTGAGTGGAGCTGATTAAAATGCAGTGTTTAAAATGACATGTTTATACTGTTAAATATATGTTGTCCCACTGTGAAATATTTAGTCTGAGGGATGTATGAGTTGTAGATGTAACATAAGATAGGATCTGGTTTTGTGTTTGTTCTTGGATGATCCATTACGATAAAAACAAAACATTTTTGTCCTTTTTATGCTCATTAAAGATTCAGCTCCAGTTGTATGACCGTTTTCTCTCTTGGTTCAGGTGTTGTCAGTGTGGCAGAACTCCGAATCTGGACTTACTCTGCAGTTGCTGAACCAAGAGCAACTGACCTGGAGCCAGAAAAACATGTAAGGCAACATCATTTTCTCTACCAGTTTCAGCTGTCAGCATGAATCACTGTATTAGCTTATTAACATTGTAATTCTGCATTTATCATTAATCAGTCTTTCCCAATAAAGTCATTAAAAAAAGGAAATTCAAATCACTTTTTTCTCTCAGGCACACCAGACTGCAGAAGCTGCACGACAGTCAGGAGCCACCAGTGGCCAAACGCAGAGGCAGCTTGAAGACTTCATACTCCCAGTTGCCAGAGCAGGACATGTTAGTACACACAGACACATAGCAGAGTTGGACTGAGCAAGTAGTAAAACCCAATGCTACTGTAGGTATTGCTTAATCATGAGTATGTACTCCCGAAATAGTATTTGAGCTTGTGTTTCTTGACGCAGTGTTTTCATCAGTGCTGCCTATCCACATTCAGTAGATCTGTCCTGCTGGGAGCAAGTGGAAGATAATGTAGCTTCATTATATGGCCTGAAATAAACAATGCACACACTTTCTTTTCAGTCAATATAGCTAAAACAAAGAAGTTAGCATACAAAGGTTACTCAGCATTTTTTGCAGCTTCTTAGTCTTGCCACATCGGTCCTAAAACTGTCACCTGGTATAATTAGACATCCAACTGCTTTAAGCATAAACTCGCAGCACAGTGCTTATAAGAATGAGTTGCTTCCTTTTGCACAACTTTGCATTATCAGTCTCATTTCTAAAGGCTCTGTTCCACCAGACATAAAAAGAAAAACGGTTGTGCTTTTAAATTCCTTGTGCAAAACCTGGAGCAGGCATTACTGGTGAAAAGAAGTAAAGAAGTCCTGGCTGTAAAATTTCAGAACTTGCTTTTGTCCATTACCTTACATGAGCAGTCACAAAACACTTTTTTATCTAGTTGTGACTCATTTGTTCTTACTAATTGCTGCGTTCTGGCCCTCACCAGGTTTCTTCAGCACTTCGCCCTGAGTAGCATTAGTCAGGAGCCCATTCTGTATGACCACCTGGGAGTGCTCTTCCCCTCTGCAGAGCTTAAGAACCCAGTCAATGGCCATGGAGACAAGGTGAGCATATTGACTGTGGTGCAGTGGATCATCCTCTCGTTCTTTTCTTGGCCTCCTAGGTTGATTATGGTAACGCTGATTAAGTTAATATCTGATGCGGGCTTTTTAATGTGTGAAAAGGTTGTCATTACCATCATCACTGGTCTGCCGGGAAGCCATAAGAAGAGACTCTGCAACTTCCTGGTCCAGCTGAACAAGGAACGAGGAAGGTAAGAGCCACTACATCCAACAACATGCTCTTTGTAATATTTTCTGCACCAATATCCTTTTTCATACATATGCTTTAGTTATTTTATTCAAATAATATTAAATACAAAACTCCCAACACAAACAGAAATAACACAAATTTTATTTTTCATTACTCCCGTAGGTGGGTGGTGTACGAGCCTGGTCCTGACAGCTGTGACAGCTTCTCAGCCTCTCACCTCCAGCAGTATTTGTCCAGCTTCCTGGAGAGCCAGAGAGGCCCAGGAGGCAAACCCCGTCTGTTGGTGCTCTCACCTGGGTAAGAAAGCCCGCTGATCAGCATGAAACAGCTGTGAACTGAGAAGTCGAGACTAATCCGGAGGAACAGAGAACAAGAACAGAGCTCGGCTAAATGAGGGTGTTTTGTTTAGAAAACACAATATGTTCATTTTTATGGAAAATAATTCCATCTGCTGTCTATCCCTCTGTATTTATTACACGCAGATAATTTCACCTTTCTATGTAAAACATATTTTAGTGTCTGCACTTTTGAGTATTTAGAGTATATTTTGTTAAAGTGTCACATAAAGTTTAATAGATGATTCCAAACCTTCATTAACAGTATCTGAAGAAAACAGACATCTTTGTCAGTGTCTTTTAAAATTTGCAAATGTTCCTGCAGATACACAGATGTTCTGGATGTGGTCCAGGCTGTGCTTTTCCACCCTGACCCAGTTGTCCAAGCGTGTTTCACCATTGGTGCTGTCACTGCCTGTGTGGATCCATTCGCTTCCTGTTTGGAGCACAGGTACGTTTTTTTTTTTTTTTGCCACCTCAAATAAAATAGGCTTTGAATAATGTAAATAATCATAATAATAAAATGTGTATCAGATTAATTAAGTTACCATTTAACTAAACCCCACAATGTCCAACTGAAATAGACAAAATTCCTGAATGAAAAATAACATTTTCACAAACAAGATTCTCAGTTATGGCTGATGAATGATAAGAGGAAACAAATACGTCAGAGAACAAGTCAAGGTGTCTCACATTGTATATGCAGAAGTCACGGTTCCACAATAGTTTTTTCCTGTGCAAGTTGAAATCAAATTGCTTTCAACTTACATTTCAGTGTAGATAATAACAATATATTAAATGACCTAATTGATAAAAATCATTCATTTAAGTATATCCTGTTCTGATCCAAAGACAATCAATATAGTGGCTCAGTTGCACCAAACAAATTAATACTTCAGTATATGTGATAATCCTGCAGCTGCCTCATGGTCAAAGGCCTCAAGAAGAACCTCGTGCTTCTTCTCAATGTTTGTGTCTGATTCCCAATGACTGGAAGGTTTTTACTTTCAAACATTTACTTACAGCATCTTAAAGAATAAGTCGCCAAAGGTTTCCCCAATGAGTAGCAAATACACACCTCCTATAGGTTTGCAGTTGAAATTTATTTGATGACCCAGTTTGACAAAAAAAAACTTCTCAAATCACTCCTGCAGTAGAATCCATTTTTCGCTTTATGTCCATGTGCGTTGTATGTTCCAAAAACAAATATTTTTATTCTTAGCACAATTGCCTGCTTGTGTTTTTCATTTGCAATCAATATAAATGTCACAAGTGTAGCTGCGTGCAACAAATGTGAGCTGCTAACAACAAATCGCAGCTGTGTATTCAGCCATATTTTGGTTATGACTCCTGAAATTCAAGTTTCACTCAGTTTGAAAGTTCAGTTTTCAAGTAACATATGGACAGACCAGATGATGACAGACAGGGCCGGATGTTGATAAATTGTTGAAGCACTGGAGGCTTCCAGGACGAGGTTACATGACACTTTTAGCTATTAAAACTCAGGCTGGGTCCCTTTTACAGAGAGGATCAGTCCTACATTTAATCTCACTCTCCTTTTGTTACAGGCTTTAGATGTAGCTTACAGAGCTTCTCACTGTCATAGATTGACTGAGCTGCTCCACGAAATATGACATACCACTCCAGTTAATAGGCTGCTTTCCACTGCACAGCCAAGCTGGGCTGGCTAGTGATACTTACATACAGACGAAGGCAGGAAGTCCAGAATCTAGTATTTAAGATTCCAGAACCACTCGAAATTTAACTGAAAAGCCAGTAGGTGTTACGACAAATGTCCCGGTAAGCAGCTGAAGTATAATAACTTTATTCTGCACAGTAACACTCATAAATACTTGAGCGTATATGCAGGAAAAAAAAAGCTTTAATAATAAATCTAAAGGGTGTTTTGGATCCTGTGCTATAAACATGTTTGTGATGTCCTTCCACTCAGACTCTGACAAGTCCTACTTGGCTCAGCAGTGGAAAAATGTGTAATAAGAGGTTTAGTTAGCAATGTGGTTAGCGCTGACTTTAACATTTGAGGCATCTTCAACAAACCCCCTGTCACTGTCTGTTGCCATAGATTCTGTGGAGGTCTGTGGACCCCTACTATGGCGCTAATTGGGTGTGGTTAGCCCAGCTTAGGCTTGACCTGCCTGTCACCCCCCTCTGCATAGCTCTCTAATCCCCCAGATCCACATGTGCGACCAACACACCCTCCTCACTGAAGCTCATCAGTCAGTCATGATCCATTCTTTGTGATGGATGTAGACAGTTCATTACATCAGGACAGGAAAGATAAATGCCTTTCAAATCGCTGATCTCCCCCCCTCCCTCCAACCTCCCTCCCCCGTCTCCCTAAGAGCTGCAGGGGAGGGTCTGTAGTGGCTGGAGGGGGGACTTGGCTCTGGATGGTTATTCAGAAAGTGGTGTATAACACTGATCGATTTGAAAACTCAGGATAAATTATGTTAAGATTAAATGAGATTACAGAAAGCTTTTACACTGGTCAGTTGCCAGTCATAGTCATGATGTCATCCTATGAAAAATGCCTCACGGTGGATAACTCGTTTGCTAGCCAAGGGCCATAACATGGAATTAGCCTGTTTATTGCTGCACAATTTTGGCAAGCACCCATCAGTCATGAACAGAGTTATTGTTAGTGATGATACTGTGGAAGAAGATATGGGTTAAAGTAAAGAGGACTGTTTACCAGATAAGTGAAACAGCTCTTTGTATGTGTCACTCAGGTACAGTCAAAACAAATTTGCATTTGACTGATGACTAGCATTTAATTATACAGTAAATACTGCATATTTAACTTAACTTCTTCTGTCTCTTGTCTTCTAACTTTAGGTTTACATTTCCTAAGCTGATGGAGCAGTGCAGCCAAGGTACGTCCTGCCTGTGCTCTGTTCTCCCCTCCACTTTCCCAACAACAAAATACATCCAGGATAAAACTTCCTTCACAGAATACTGAGGAAACACCAGATATTGATATTCACTGATATTGATTTTCCAAATACGCCATGCAGTCCGGTTGTACGATACAAACCTTAAAGGTCAAGAAATGTATGATTTTTGTCAAATTAAGTCAGAGGAGAAGTTGCACAGGTGTGAACAATAATGACATATAAGCCATATTCTCACAGTAAAGTAGCAAATTAGAGATCCAACACCCAGTGAAGACGAAATATATTAATATGTCACGGTGCTTTGTTGTTTGCTTCTTTGACGTGAAGTGTGTTGCAGTGCCATTCACCCTCCAGCAGAACCATCCTACATCTTTAACGCTTCAATATCTTAATACACCTTTGAAAAGCGTACATTTCCATCTGTGTGACACTGGGATGGATTGAGTAGTGTGGAAACCACCACAGTTTAATCTGTCGCAGAATTACCTCTTATTTCTCACCCGTCCGTTTGAAGTTTTCACAATGTGACTTTCCCTAAAGCCTTCAGCTCACCGGCAGGATACAGCAGCAGTATCACCAGTAAATCAAACCTAGTATAAAAAGGGCTATTTCTGCAGTGGCTACACAGACATTGTATTTTTCGGGGGAAAGTGAGCCGGTTTCTCCTGGAATTCATGTTCCCTCTCTGTGCCTCGCTGTATGTCAGGTATTGTGAGTACAGTGGTGTTCACCGGGCTGACAGCAGAGCAGAAGCACCCTCTCATGCAGTATGTTCAGCAGCTGGTACGCTCTGCCAACCCCACTGCAGCCTTCATACTCGCAGAGAGAGGAGCTGTCACCAGGTAGGCACCCGCAGAATCATGATCGTCACTGCTGGGCATTAACTGCTTTTATCTTTGCCTGAAATATTCACTCAAGGCTACGTTTTATTCTTCTTTTTGAGTCTATGTTCAAATCTTTTGGGTCAGAGAAGGGTTAGCACAGGAATGTGTCATGAACATTTCCCAGGTTATTCTATACTTAAGGAACATTTCATTGTCGAAGTTAAAAGCCTATTGTAGATATGAGATATTAAGTCCTTATGTGGTATTTCGGTGCTGTAAAGAGTGAAGTATTGACTCCTTCCTGTTTGTCTTCTTAATCAGGACTGAAGATGTGAATCTGATCTTGTCTGAGAGCAGCTTCAATGAGCCACAGATGCTGAGAGCACGTTATGTCCTCTACCCTGGATGGTAAGACCCTCATTCGACGTTCCACTCTACTCGTGGTGACCCCCGTGTGTCCTCATGTGTCCACACTCAACCTTTTGGCCGCTGAGCAACAGATTGGCGTTGATTCCTGCCTCAGCGTTCCTCAGTCCTGCCTCGCCTCCCTCCCTGCGGTTTAATTGCCACTCAGCTGCAGTGGTGGGGGTATCGGCTGCTGATTGCTGTAAAGCCCCTCAGGGCATCTTGTGTTCTATCACCAGCTGCCTCCTGGCAGCACAGTAACAAGCTGTTGGCCATGCAGTTGCCATGTACACAGAGGGGGTCTCCTTCCCTTTGGATCTGGTCCATTCTGCCTTCATGCCTCAGTGGTCAGCCTAATATGAACCTCTGCTTAATCCTCCCCTCAGATCATACACTGGATATCTGGCCAGAGTCTGGCCCTTCTGATTTACTCATCTTCAAGCTTTAATTTGTGTGTACTGTACTGTACGTGTACGTGCGTGTGTTTGAGATGCTTCTTACACATCCGTAGCTCTTCGACCAAGACTAGTAACTTTTTCACCTGCTGATGAGAGTCTGTACATTTACAGATTCATCATCCACTTCCCACAATTTTATAAGCAAATCACATTCGCTGGCCTCTTTCCTCTGGGCAGCTGGTAGAGTAAACAACTTTTCAGCCAAAGACAAAATGTAGCACAAACATTTGGCTTGCTCTAGACTTAACTTTCTCACTATCTGTGTAATGTGCTCGTGTTCTGTGTTTCAGGTGCAAAGGGCGCTTCTTCTCTGGTTCAGGGTCTCTGATCCTCACCCAGCAGCGCGTGGCTTTCAACCGGCCCCTAGAGAGGCCTCTATTTGTCACCCGCTGTAAAGGTGAGATGGAAAGAAAGCCTCCCCCCTCCCCTTTTCTGACTCTTACACGTGACAGAAGCGCCAGATATGAGCTGGCAGGGTTTGATGATGATTACATAAGCTGTCTTTCCCTCCAAATATGGAGATAACTGAGGTCTCAAAGTAATTGTCAGCCGCTGCTGCGAAATAATCTGTATTCCCAAAGGATGCACTTACAACATCTTGCTGCCAATTTAGCTTCTGAGGAAATTGTTAATTTAAATTATTATTATTAAATCCTGCAATTCTCCCTGCTAAAACTCTGCTAATGTTTCTGAAGCTTTCAAGTCTTCACTAAAGCCGAGCCCCTTCCGAGGAAACGTGTACAATGTTTGGGGAAAAGTTCGATTTTCTGGTAAGAAATATTAATATACTTTTAATTTTATTTCTCTCTTATATAATACATTGTCATTTTTGCTAACTTTTTCAATTTTCAGACCAGATTTTGCATTCCAGAGAACTTGCTTTTGTTAAGCATTACTAAACAAATGTGACTTCTTTCCTCGGTAAATGTTTGACCTGCATTTGCATTCCCCACTTTTGGGAATTGTTAGAGAAAAGGTTGCCCTCAAGGCAGGCAAGAAGCTCCTGACGGTAGGAATATCGCTCGGTTGTTGCTCTGGTGTCTGGTGTTTAGAATTCAGCTCATAGTCCACTGGTTTGGTTTCCTCCACGTAGTTCTCTCACTCTTTTTTTCATCCAAAGGCCTGTGTAGAGTTGTTGCATGAGGAGAAAGTGGAGGTGCCTGTGAGGAGATGTGCAGAGAGTGTGCAGATATCTGTAGAGAGAGTTGGCGAGACGCAGGAGAATGGAACGAGTGTGGAGACTGTATGACCCTGAGACAAATGCTCACATTCCCTTAGTGTCAAGTGTGCATCTCAGTCACTGTCTGTAGGGTAGTGTATCATTTACATCGCCTTATATTCAGTTATTTTACTTTATTTTAGTTGTTGTATTTAGCTGTCGTACATCCAACACATATTTTATATTAAGTTAGGACATATTTTTTTATCTTGTTTTGTTACACGTGAGTTCTGTGAGTCATTTTGGGAGCAGAGGGGCTGTATGGATGTTGAACCATAAACACCCCACCGACAGCATGCTGTTACCATATGAAGCTGCTGTAGCAGGTGTTACACAAGGTGTGAGCTGCATGTGCGACTTGGATGTGAGCGCCTCTCTCTCTGGAACCTCCAGACTCAGAACAACTGATGGAGGTGAGCTACAACACGGTGAGTGGGAGCCTGAGCATTGCCTCAGAACAGAGCGTTGACCCTCTCACCCCGGGCCCCAAAGAGACCGGCACTTCCTGCTTCATGGTGTTTGATGGTGTTGGCCTCACTGAGGATGGAGTGAAGGACTGGCTCAGACTGTGCACCAAGCAGGTAGACATTTAAATAGCCCCACTGTTTTTGATGGCAATGCATACTTGAGACTTGTGTATAGATCTATGGGTAACATCAGTTAAGTGTTGCGTAATGCCAAGGCTGTTGTTTCTGTTTGGTTTTTACAGAGGCAGACAAAGAAGCCTAAGAAGACTAAAAACAGCCTTTCACCACACGAAATCAAGACCATACATGTGAGTGTGTTTATATTGATGATTATATAATTACAACCAACCGTGAAGACCAGGAAACTCACTACAGACCGCTGTACATCAGGGGAACGGTATCAGACCATTTCTAAAGTGTTCCCAGGAACACAGTGGCCTCAATTATTGTGAAATGGTAGAAGTCTGGAACCACCAGGACTCTTCCTAGAGTTGGCCGTCCAGACAAACTGAGTAACCAGGCAAGAACGGTCTTGGCCAGGGAGAAGTGATCAAGAAACAGCTCTCCATCAATCAGACCTTTATGGTAGAGCAGCTAGACAGAAGCCACTTTGAGTAAAAGGCATATGATGCTTGAAGATTGCCAAGCAGCATTTAAAGGAAAAAGATTCTCCGGTCTGACGAGACAAAAATCTAAACCCTTTGGTTTGAACTCCAATATACTGAATTCTGAATACTTTCTAAAATTAGAGATTTCATTTTCATTTCATTCATTTTTATATATTTACAATTAAATCTACATCACAATGTTTTTTTTCCTTTCCTTTCCTTTTCTTTTGTGGGAGGTTTTCTTTATCTTCTAAGGTCAGGAACTGTTATTGATGTTGGCCTTTTCAGTCAATAACATTTACTCAACCTGATATTATGTTTCTGTTTAGATTATCAGGCACTTGGATCCACTACCTCCAGGCTACTTCTACAACGGTTGTCAATATGTCGACATCTTTGGAGAAAAAAGGAATTTCCATCCCAGTATCCTTTTCATAGTGGTTACTCTAACTACACTTTATCTGTCTCTCAAAAATCCTTTTCCCCATTTTTTTAAAGGCTAAATCAAACTCAATACAGTGAATGTGAGTCAGTGTAGGTATAAAAATCAGGCTCTGTGTTTGAAAAGTGATTGATATCAATAGGAGCCGGACTTTCTGAGTCAGACAATCTATGACAAACAATGCAGGTCTGCTTGTATCTGTGTTTACCGTTGTGCGTGGTGATTGTGCTGCTGTTTCCCATACATTGCTGTCACTGCAGACATGGAAGATTTTATTAAAGCGTACATCGCCGAGGCCAACAAGGAGATCGAGATATTCAACCGTCAGCTGGAGCTGCAGGGACAGCCTGACCTGTTTGATCCGTGATAGAATCTGTGTGTATGTCCACCGCCTCCATCTGTCTTATTTATCTCTAAGGCTACCACTGTGGGAGGGGCAGGGAGGGCGCAGGGGTTACGTACTCAACACTCCACTAGAATGATTAATGTGTGTTCATACCACATGCATCTGCAGAAGCTGCTGCTGCTAGAAACCCAGTTATTATCTATGTACTATGTCACTTTGTTTCCTTATTTGGTGGCATGAAAAGGATGAGCGGAGGTGAGCGTTTGAGCAGTGACATCATCCATCAGAAGCCAGTTATGTCACGGCATGGCTTACTTCCCTCTGCCACGCCACTGACTCTACAGTTATCACTTTGGCAACTTAGGCATCATATTTATCAAATGAAAGCGGCAGTTTGATGCGGTCACTTGTGTTGATTCAAATTAATGCACATTTGTCAAGCAGTGAGAGTTGACTTGTTCACAACTGCAGGCGTATCTGAATCGTAACGCAACACAAGACTCCATCTTTAAACCAGTGTGATTGTGCCGCTAAGCCTGCAAGCTATGAGACTTTCACAATTGAAGGGAATTTCCAGCCCCTCGCTCCTACAGCTTGTGCGTTTCTGTTTATCACAGTTGGCAAATTAAAGCCTCTATTTCTGGACAGGCATGGATAGCCGTGTGATTCTGGTGGGCTCCCTGGTGGGGTTTCTCAAGAATCGCTCCTCCTCTGTTGTCACCCAATCCATGGCCCACCTGTTAGCTTGTCTGTGTGCCGTGCTGCAGCAGAGGGAGCGCTTGGCCATGGAGCTGTAAACATTGGACAGCCTGTTGGCTGCAGACATCTGATGAATGATGCCATTAATCACATAGCTATACGCCACCCCAGTGCTTTATTTTAAGACTCCTAAAGTGAATCTAATGAAAGAACAAAAAATAAATAAAAAATAAAAATTCAGACTTCAGTCCCGGCAGCAAAGTGGTGCAGTTATAAAACAGCTGAGGCCAAGAAACACACTGAATCTGTTTATTATAATGCTGCTAGTTTTAACAGTGAGAAACCAGGTAGACACAGAGTTAAGCTCAGCCTCACTGCAGCCAGCTCTGGATCTTTCAGTTCACGGTTTTGGTCAAAATGTTAATTTATTGTTAAATTTTGTTATAAGTGTAAACATTCCCTCTTTTTTTTTTTTCAAAATAAATATATGGGTCACTACATTTAGGTAGGACGAGGGGAAAATGAAATAATCTGGGAAACTTTGGTGAGGTTTGGGTAAACATGAGTTAGAGCCTTTAGTGAAAGGTGAAAGGCTTTGTATTGATGTGATGTTGCAGAGAATCAGTCTTGATGTTCTGTTGAAATCAGTAGTTATGCTACTATTTGCTCTGTGATCATGTGTCACACTAATGTTCTATGCATGTCTTCCTCTTGCCAGGGTTCCTACACAGGTTTTGAAATTCTGTAACTTCGTAGGGAAACGAAAATTCTGTGGAAAACCCGTGTTGTTGTTGTTATTTGAACAGCAACAGTTGAATTATTAATTGTGATGTCAAAATCAAACAAAGCATTAAATACATGGGATTTGGAAGTTGAAAATGTGTAGGAACCCTGCTCCAGTCTCTGGAGGTTTGATGGCTTTCATTCGTTATGGGGTCAGCAGTGTAACATGCAGACTAATTAACAATCTGGGTTTGTCTTGAGGGAGTTGATGCTGACAAAGGAACATTTGAATGCACATATAAGCGTGCACACACTGCTGCTGCGTACAATTATATTACATTGGCCTTTTGTACACCGCACCAAAAAGAATCGCCTGTACTCAAACGTGAGTACTGTGAGATTTTCACCATGGATAAGAGAGGAAGGGCGTTTCTGCTAAGAGCATGTTTCAGGTCCATAGTTGTAATCAGGGGAATAAGAGAGAATGGGGGGCAAATGCTTAATAATGAGGTCAACACTTACTCATTGTCGTTAGATTCTTATTGAAGCAGATATTTTTAAATCAGTGGTGACCTCAGTGTATTTTGGGATGCCAGTCACATCCCTGGGTATGTCCTGTCCTGACAGCGCTGTCAACAGCCAGCTTAATGGAAATAATCAATAATATTGTTTTCAGCTGGCAGACGAACACAGAGAGTGATAATAACATTGTCGGCAAAGTGTTTTCCTCCAGACGCCCGGTGTGTATCTGCACAGATTCAGATGATCCGAGACCTGGACTCTGACCTGACACTGCTGGCCCCATCTGTCCTCAGCAGAGTCTCCTCTGACCTGAACAAGCCATACCCTCTTATGCTAGATGTGCCACTGTCTCTTAGAAGAATGACTCATTGCATAGGATAGCGTATAACATAGCAATGAAGTACGCCTCTAACATGTATCACCCTGGCATGTTCCAGATAGCCAGCAAAGGAGGGGTTCACACGGAGAGGAGGAGCTTACCCCCAAGTTACTCATTCCACGAGCTTCTCTCTTTCAGTCCTCCTCCTTCACTCTATAAAAGAAGTGCAATTGTACCTTGTGTTTTTATATATTCCACTTACAGTGCCCTCAAATAGCTCTTTAAGGACAAAGCTGAGCAAACAAACGAGCTGCTAAATTCTCAGTCTCTCACAGCTCGTATTCTGTGGTCGGCTGGATTCTGGCTTTGAGCGCTTGTATCTCAAATAAAACCATAAAGGGTCTTAACAGCAAGTGAAGGGGTTTTTGATGCAAAATGAGATGCTGCATTAACAAAAAAAAAAAGCATTACCTCTGCTTACAAATGACTGATGGAACAAAATGCAAACAGATTACGCTGCTTGTTTTTAACAGCAGAGCAAGATGTAACATAAATCCTGTGTTGACTAAATGATAACTCTTGTTTAAGCTGGATCTTCTGTTTAGCGATTCAGAGATGCGCTCTCTAAAGCCGTCTGTTTCCAGCAACAGTTGCTGTCATTCTGTAGTTATGTAATACTGCAGAGGCTTACCTTGATTGACAGTGAAATAGCTGCGAGGCTGATGTATGGAAGACTGAAGGTGCCACAAATTTAAACCTGCTCCTCGTCAAAGAGCAGAGCGACTGAAAACGTAATCGGCCAAGAGATCAAAAATTAGTCCTTAAAGAGTCGAGGGTTATGTAAGACGTTTGTGATGTTAATCAAATTCCCACTAACACGTACACACACACACGCACACACACATATACACGACTACTACCACAAGTATGTCTATACTATTTTGCATGTGTTGAGATGTTATGTGAAAATGACGCCACATATATTCTGACAGAATTGCCTTTCACCAAACTGGTACAACAAAGAGAAAATTATCACATTTATTTTACATATCTGCTAAGAATTTGAATTACCTCGAAAAACAACAAATAGTATTTTTATAAGACTGTGAATTGAACAATTCTAGATGCAAGCAAAATGTCTCTTCTCGCACAAGCTACAAGCTACAAAAGGCAAAAGCAGATGCAATTTTTTTTTTTTTTTTGTAGTTAAAAAAAAAAAAAAAAACTCGAAGAGAATCTGATCGGTTGTGAGATGTCAGGTTTCTCTGATCCAGCAGTGCCTTGGCTACGGCTAAGAAAAAGCAGAGATTAAAGCTGCGTTCAGAGCTCCATCTTTCTCCCTGTCATGGGGGGGGGGGGGGGTTGTCAGGCAAGGATCCGTCCTTCAACAGTGTTGGTGAAAGGAATCCATGGAGTCGTTCTTTAAAGCAATGTGTTTTTACTAAGCCAGAGGGTAAAGTAGACGTGGTCGCACAGGGGAAGGCCACTGGAGGGCTCAGGTGGATTCAGGTATTCTTGCAAACTAACCAAAAAGATGCTGAAGTACAAAGCTGAGCACTGAAATCAATATAGTTCTGATACTTTAAGAGTTATTTATGTTCACAGCGGTACATTTCTTAGTGGTTTATTTTAGTTTATTAGTAATAACAGACCAAATACAGTTGTTTTATTTAATGAAAATGTAACGTACACTAGAAGGGAAGCTGCACTTTTATCCATGTTCCTTTTTAAAATGAATAATATATGAAATAGGAAATGGAAATTTTCTTCTTTTTTTTTTTTTTTTCTTAGGCTCAGTTGTAGTTGGGATACAAAACCGTCATGTTTTGTATCAGAGTACAGACGAAAACAAAAAAAAAAGAAGCAGAGAGGATTGAGTTTGTGACTAAAGTTGGGTGACCCCTACTTATTGCACATTGGGGGCCCAAAGAGCCCTCCACACGCCTCCCCGTGTGCCTGCTACACAGCTCTCTGGCAGACTGAGCACCCTGGTGTCTTCATCCTGTATGTGGAGGCTAGCAACTTTTGTAGCTGAAGTTATAGGACAAAAACAAAGTTTGGTGTTAATTGGTTTTATGTAAAGCGGGGGAAACGTGATGTTCTCGTACTGCAGTGTGATAACGCAGTGCGCGGGGGCTTTTGTTCTTTTTCTAGTTTTGAGATTGGCTCGTGTTCAAAAGGGCCAACAATGTGGAATGTATGCGCTTCTTGAAGAAGTTGGTATTTTTATGGTATTTTTTTTTTTGTGCTTATTGGAGGAATAACGGCTTGGAAATGGATTTTTAACTGACCAAATATTTCTCAGCCCTCAGGGGACTGTTGATGCTAATTGTTTGGGCCGTTCTGTCCTATCGAGGTTCAAAGGGAAATCACGGGCTCCTCACCCCACAGTCCTCACAGACAGCGAGAGGAGGTTTCTCAGGTGTACCTATTATTTCCATACCTGAGATTACATATTTGCCCTATCAAGCCCAAGTGTTATAGAAGAAGATGGGGGTGAAATTGTGGTTAATATCTTCTGTCTGTAGCCACATACTGGCTGGCTGCACAGCCATGTATTTAAAAACAGAAGAAGAAGAAGAAAAAAAAGGATGTTGTTATTCATGTCAAGGAACACTAACGATTGAAGCTGGGAGGTGTTTGATGTCATGATGCAGAATTAGATCTGGGAAAAAAAAAAAAAAGCAAAGGGCTCATTTCTTTTCCCCTTATCTTCAGGCCGTCCAAGGTAACAGGAAAAAAAACTTCTTATGGTCTATTGTGATGAGAAGCAAAGAAAAAAAGAAAGGAAGAAAAAAACTAACTTCAAAAGTGCCAAACTGACTTCCACATTTTGTTTTGAGGATGTTCACAGAACGTGAGTGAATCTGAATTGCATTTGCACTAAACTACTGTAACTTCTGTTTTTTTCCTGTGACTGATGCTTTTATAATCTAACTGTTGTATTTATTGCACCTCGTAATCCATTAAATATTTATATGGTTATTCAATCTTTTTGTTATTTTGTCACTTAATGCAGCAGTTGGTCTTTTAAATGTCACTTACAGGTACACGTTCTGTTTGCTGTGCTTTGGTTGCGTGGTATCCGTTGTGCTCTCAGATGTCAGGACACACACATGTGCAGCCAGTTCAGCATAGTAGTGGATTTGTCACTTGGTGAGACAACATGAATTCACCCTGTGCATCCAAACCCTGTATCAGCACCAGCTGAGACGGGGAGGTCTGTTATTGGGACTTGGAGAGGTAGACTAAACACAAAGTGTCTGCAGAGTGTGTATCAGAGTTTGTGTGTTTGTGTGTGTGTGTTGTGGTTCAGCTATTAACACACTTACTTAAAGAGAAATGGCAGCTGAAATAGGGCTGAGAGAATGTGAGGAATCCTGCTCCACATACTGTACATGTAGCACAGTTTTAGCCCTCCGTTTCCTCATGCTGTGTGTGTGTGTGTGTGTGTGTGTGTGTGTGTGTGTGTTTAGAAGAAAGGAATATTGAGTCTGTGTGTGTGTCCTTGTATTGTTGCCAGGCAGATAGAGTCCTCCACATGGCTAACCTCTGACATCAGCGTTTCCTTGCCTTTCTCCTGCCACCACTGCGCCGCCAGTTTCTCCCCAGCGACTCAAGGCAAGAGCCCACCCCCCCCCACCCTCCCTCACTCCACCCAGATACACTTAAAACACACTCTTACCATATCACTTCCACCATTAACTGCCCTTTTTCTCCTCCCCGCCCCTCTATTGTTGTATTTTTACTGAGGCAGTGAGCTCGGGCTATTTGTGGGCTATTATGACAGCCACATGTAAACACTCATCACTCTCACTGGCGTCTGCCAAAGCCCGCTGAGTGGGCCCAGGTCACCGCAACAATAGTGCACTGTACACTGCTGGATTTGCTCACTTTTACTTGGTGGGACTGTGGGGCAGTTGTCAAGTCTTTTCCAGCCTTGACCCTCTGGCGCTTCGACTGTTTCCAGCTGCATGGGACAAGTTTGAGTTTCTGTTGTCAGCTACGACACACACTCAATTGGCAGTTTATTAGCTACGCCTAGCTAAAACTAATTTTTTTGTTCATGCTAGAAAAGTGTTTTGAGCACTTGGCACCAAGGCGATGTACAAACGATAAAATGGAATTTCTCACAGCTGCAATTTACTTTTTAAACTTTTGTTAAATTGTAAATGTGTTAAATCTGAGTATTTTCAATTTAAAAGTTCAAGTGGGTTTCAAAGGTCACAGATTTTTTAACATCTATTGGTGTTTTGTTTCACTTCCTGTTAGTATAAAACAGAAAAGTTCAGTGGTTTTTATCTATTTATTTTTATTTCCAATTCTCACTGAAAAAACAGCGTAATATGAAAATTAGGATGTAGTCTCTACATAATAAGCTCGTGTGCACCCAGTGGTAGGTATGTTTTATATAGATAATAATCCAAATAATTTAGGTGCATTAACAATTTAACAATTTAAAGT